CAGGGGCCCAGGTCTCCAATTGGACGGCGCATTCCCTCACTCCCTGGATGTTGCATCACTCAACAATTACTTGACTCAATTAAGGAATCAATTCAGCACATAAACGGCACGTGAGCTCATTCCCAGGGATATTGCAAAGTTCACCAATCGCATGACACCAGCAACCCATCAATTTAAACGACACGTGAGCTCATTCCCAGGGATACTGCAAAGTTCACCAGTCACATGACACCAGCAACCCATCAATTTATACGGCACGTACGTCACTCCCAGGGATGTTGGATTGTTCTTTACTTAGGTGACACCAGGAACACTCTCGGTGGACGACACATAAGCCTGATTCCCAGGGACTGTGTCATGTGACATGGTTCCATTGGCAGGTCACATGGCAAGTTGTACCCCAACCAGAATGCATGTACGCTTAAAAGCAGGGACCCTGTAAAGACGCCCAACAGGATAGTGATAGGATATGATTACGGGATTGCATGTCAGTATTACATGTACATGTACACTTGTTAGTTTCATTCAAGATGATTTTATCTCTGTGGGTCTATTTTGTTACCAAAGTCACTTTGCTGTTTCAATACTGTAACAACGAACAGGAACGAAATAACATAACTTTCTCTTAAAGGGAGGTTTACAGTAACACCATGTGAATGATATCTTTGTGTGTTGTATGGTTCTGAGAAGAACTAGTTGGTTTAGCTCGATGTTTTGAACAGTGTGCTCTGTTCATCAGTAGTCTCCTGATGTGACAAACAGCGCATGATACATGTACATTGTACATTGTACTGTTTGAAACGTCAAGTTAAACCAAATGGTTCTTCTCAGGACTACACAACTCACACAATATCATTCACATATTGGTGTTTCCGCAAACCTTCCATTCATTGATCATATCTACCACACTAACCCTTAAAGTCTCATTTACCATAACTAAATTGTTATTAACCCTAACCCCCTAGGCCCTTGTTGCTTACAACCATCCTCAATCCTCCAAAATCCTCCAAAATTTTGCAACTCCGCCTAAATTTTTCAAAATTGTCAGACAGTCCTGCCTCAAAATGCATTCATCCTCAATCCTCCAAAATCCTCCTCATCCCAAAACTTTGCACTCGTGTTTAAATGAAGGATAACCAACGCCAAATCCTTCAAAATCATCAGACAGTCCTGCCTCAAAATGCATTCATCCTCAATCCTCCAAAATCCTCTTGTGCTTCAATCACCATTCATCCTCAATCCTCCAAAATCCTCATGTGCTTCAATCACCATTCATCCTCAATCCTCCAGAATCCTCATTTGATTCAATCACCATTCATCCTCAATCCTCTAGAATCCTCCAAAACCGCCAGGAGGATTTTGGAGGAGTGAGGTGGGTTAGGGTTAATGTCGGTACATACTGACATAATTGAACTTGACAAAGTTCCAACGCCGAATCAGGGGAAAAAGGTCAAAACAACAATTAAGATATGGCCCTAGATATCATCACATAGTAATTCAGAACATTTTGAAAATTGTAAAACCATCGTCAAAACAACAGCACTCTTCATTTAAATAATAGACAACAGGTGACCGAGAAAACTGCCTCCAGGGATTCCACATGCACACTGTCATTAGCTCCTCACGGGATTGTAAGAATTGAAAGAAACAAACTGCTCTCTATTTGATATGTACACGTAACACGAATCCAATTGTTATACCAATATCTGTACCACGTACAAGATATTGCATCAAGTCTAAGCTTGTCCAGTTGGGTTGAACCTAGAAGTCTCAACTGAAGACATGTACTCAGTACATGGCCAGCACATTGAGTTAAAACAGCTACAACTTCTTCAAGGAGTATTTGGAGGTAAATGCATCACAGATCCAAGATCTCATAGCGTGCCAAAAACCACTCAGCAATGACATTTGAACCGTCTGCATCATCAATCACCCTGCATCTCTTTATAGGCCGCCATTGTCTGTAGTCTGTAATCTATATGAACTGATATCAGCCCCTATGAAACCCAAAATAAACACACATTAATAACCAAACAAATCCCTACAATTCATACTTTGAACCAGTGAGACGAAACTAAAATAACGAAACACTTCAAATTATCCATGGACACTCTTAAAAGCAAGCCAACCTATCCAAGATCCAAGACCCCATGCCAAGCAATGAATTTTAACTGTCTGCATATTATCAATCAGTCTAAATAGGCTGCCATTGTCTGTAGTTTGTAATATAAAAAAATAATATTAGCCCCTACTATCACAACCAAAATCAACAAAACAAAACACTTCAAATTATCCATGGACACTCTTAAAAGCAAGCCAACCTATCCAAGATCCAAGACCCCATGCCAAGCAATGAATTTTAACCGTCTGCATATTATCAATCAGCTACATGTAGTCTAAATAGGCCGCCATTGTCCGTGGTCTGTAATCTAAAAGAACTAATATTAGCCCCTACTATGACAACCAAATAAACAAAACAAAACACTTCAAATTATCCCTGGACACCTTTTAAAAAAGTGCATAACATATAGCCGCATGAAGCCTCAAAATTACAACTTAAACAGTTTATTTTTGAAATGTTTCCGTAAAGAAATAAGGTGAAGCATTTCCAGGGCAGCCATGGGATAAGTTCCTAATCCATTTATAGTCAAAATACCACTGTGTATAGCATTCATATCACTCACAGCCTATCCACTAACCATACATGTACATGTACATACCGGTATGTATCTGTAAGGACACAATACTGGCAACCAAAAGTTGGACATTAGACATGTTAGAGATCTGAAGCAAGATGAAAACTGCATGCTGTTAGTTAGCTCTTAAATTGTTGGGAGAAGCATCCCTTTAAGTGCAAAACAACACTGAAAAGATAATAGGCCAAATATTTTTCACTGCAAGGCAGATTATTTCAACAATTTTGTGAGCAGTCTTTTTTTTGTGCGATTGTGTAGGTACACACGTTTTATTGAACTTACCAAACTATTAAGCGACATTTAATGGCAACAAAGGATTCATGGATAAAGGACAGTTTTATTTTTTGTGGGAAATTTTGGGATTGTCATGAACTGAAATATATGCATTCTAAAATTGCACTTGCCAACGAAAGATACTTTTCAAATTTCAAAATATATATTATTTGATGAAAATAACTCTCTTGATTCTAACAACTTGACCGAAACTAAAGAGGGGGGCGCATCACAATGGCCTTGGTATCATGTCGCAATCTCTGACGTTTAAAATTACTGATCTCTTAAAGCAATGGCCTGCAGTGGTACTAGGAAGTCATGTGATCTTTTCCTTGGATGCGTAAAGACCAAATTAAAGATATCAGTCACCTCAGGAAAGTGCAAGACATGGCCCGATGGTTCGTTTCCGGGCATTGAAGAGGCTGGTTCCCAGTTTTACCCATGGTGAGGTTGGGATCTCATGTGGCTCAATCAAGTGGCATGAAGAGGTCGGTTCCCAGTTTTACCCATGGTGAGGTTGGGATCTCATGAGGCTCAATCAAATGGCATGAAGAGGTCGGTTCCCAGTTTTACCCATTGTGAGGTAGGGATCTCATGAGGTTCAATCAAGTGGCATGAAGAGGTCGGTTCCCAGTTTTACCCATGGTGAGGTTGGGATCTCATGAGGTTCAATCAAGTGGCATGAAGAGGTCGGTTCCCAGTTTTACCCATTGTGAGGTTGGGATCTCCTGAGGCTCAATCAAGTGGCATGAAGAGGTCGGTTCCCAGTTTTACCCATGGTGAGGTTGGGATCTCATGAGGCTCAATCAAATGGCATGAAGAGGTCGGTTCCCAGTTTTACCCATGGTGAGGTTGGGATCTCATGTGGTTCAATCAAGTGGCATGAAGAGGTCGGTTCCCAGTTTTACCCATGGTGAGGTTGGGATCTCATGAGGCTCAATCAAGTGGCATGAAGAGGTCGGTTCCCAGTTTTACCCATGGTGAGGTTGGGATCTCATGAGGCTCAATCAAGTGGCATGACGAGGTTGGTTCCCAGTTTTACCCATGGTGAGGTTGGGATCTCATGAGGCTCAATCAAGTGGCATGAAGAGGTTGGTTCCCAGTTTTACCCATGGTGAGGTTGGGATCTCATGTGGCTCAATCAAGTGGCATGAAGAGGTCGGTTCCCAGTTTTACACATGGTGAGGTTGGGATCTCATGAGGCTCAATCAAGTGGCATGAAGACATATTACATTGTGCAAGCACGCTCCACACTTAGTGTAACGCACTGACGCAGTGATTTTTCCATGTCAAACGTCAATATTTCACCTTTAATCCAGCCGGGAAAGGGTTCCGATCAGTGTTGACCTGGGTGTTTCTACCGTAGAAACACTCCATTTACGACTGGTGAAAGAGAGTAAAACTACGCTCGCGATAATTTTTATGTGCCATTGTCATTGACTTTTTCGTCGACTTTTCTTTGAAAATATTCTCTGCAAGAGGCAAGTTTGACCATACATGTAGTTAACCATAGTTCGACTAACTCTGGTCAAACGCACTAGTGGACGACTAGTCTAGTCCACTATTCAGGACCAACCTACTGCGGCTGGTCGTGCCATGATATAACTGGTTATCAATAGCAATTTTCATAGCATAGTGCAGAGGGGACCTACTATCAACAAAAATGGCGGGAAAATGGAAACTATGAGAGCTGATAATTTCATTTTCATGTCATAGTTTTTCCGTGTAACTTTACAATTCTGTCACTTTTGTATCAAGTACACAATTACTACAATTTGTGCACATATAAACAGAAACGTCAAGTGTTGAAAAATTGTGCAACCGCCATTTTCTCACGGTCGTTGACATGACTTAGTTCGACTAGAGTCATTGATACGTTCACTACGTTATCTTCACTGCGCATGCGCTAGGTACGGCACAAACTAACCACTAGTTAACCATTGGTCCTTGATCCAACTTGCCAGAGACTGGCTACATGTGCAACTTCATCTGCAGCATTCAGATATAAAAAGTGTGAAAGTATTAACTTACCATCCTGGTTGGCATGGCAACAGTGGGTGATGACGTTGTCTGCTGAATTGGCTGTGGATACGTCTTCTTGTATAATCTCTGGTAGTGGCAGACGTAACTCGTATTGTCTGTGACTAGAACAGTCAATTCTTCCTATACAAAAAAAAATACATTTTAAAAAACAAAACCTACAGAGGCCTACAAATGTTGTTGAATGGTGTACAGGCAGATTGGCCACATAAAGAGGTCTAGTTGTCATGCCTATCCAAGCAGTACATTTGCATTGTCCTCTAAGATGGCCGCTCAGCATGAGGTCTATTGAAGTAGTGGCTTGGCTGTACAGTACTGGATTATTCAGTACGGCAAAACCAGACATGGGATATTAGTTAATTCTTGGTGTAACACCTTAACCTTATGACCAGTTCCAGTACTTTGGCTAACACCCTGCTCAACTGCTCAATTAAACAACACACAACAGGTGCTTGTCAATGTGCCACGCCTGCTACATGTAAGTCTAACCAAATCAATCCAACGGCCTTAGAGTCTGAGCTTGCTAGTCACCACAGTATACATTATTGGATGGGACAAACTCCCATTGTCTCAGAATTGATAGTTGAAACTTTGATGCTGTTCGTGTTGCTCTGCTCAATACAGGGTGTATCAAAACAAGGAAACCCAGATGTAAATGTAAATTATAAAAAATCTAATAAATATTTGAAATAAGTTCAAGATCATGTGAAATGCCAATGTGTCCTCTTTCCAATGATTCCTTGATTGTGTGTCTGTGGTGAAGGTGCAATGTACCCTAGAATAAACAAAGTCAAAGTTTAACAGACTGACAAGCAAACATAAAAAAGAAAGTTACAAACAAAAATAATTTTTTGCCTACCAACCTGGATAATTGTTGATATTTTGGACCTATATGAACCTACCATGATACGGGTCTTGACACACATCCATGGCTTGGCCGGTGTCAATTCTTGCTGTCCTCTTTGGAGGTTTGTGGCCATGAACTTCCTGTATGCATCTTCATCGGTCTCTGCAAGTTCATCCAGCATTGACCAAAAGTACTGTGTCTGCTTCATCAGGTCATGTTGGACGCCTGTCACCATACTAAAATTGGAAAAGACAGCAGGACAATTTTGAAAATGGCGTCTGCACGATATTCGCAATGTAATTGTATCTCAGGTGGCATATGTAGTAATTTTGTGGCCGTTTTGAGGGTAAAATCTGATGTTTTTGTTGGCAAATTGTTAGGTTGTTAATTATTTGAAACGCCATGTAAGTACTACCGCCAGATCATGTCCAAATGTTAAAAATAATGGAGGGGCTACTGTTGTGGCAATTGCTATCGTTACAGCATCGTCTGGCTCCCTGACCTAGTAAATGTCCTTCGTACAACTGCATGTGTGCACATCACATGACAACGATTAGGGTCTATGGATGAACAGTTGACCATACGCATGCAAAATCATAGCGGTGTACCACAGAAATCAAAGAAAGTTTTTGTTTTGAAGTAGATGCGAAATGTTGCTTGTTTGTTAACGGCACCATGGTGTAAGATGTTTTGCATTGATCATGTGTATACTCCAACTTTTCTGCCAACAAGGGTTTTCATCTTCTTTTTTTTTACTATAACTAGGAAAGAATTCCATCATACATACCGGTACATATATATGGACATCACTCATTTTTCCAATAACACGTCCTAAAAAGTCAAAGTTTGCAGGAAAAACATTGAAGCATTTACTGAGAAAACACTTGGAATTCTTCAAAACAGTCTCATAGGGTTTGTGCACAGGGTGTCAAGTGATGTCCAGGTGGGGCATGGAAGTCTTTCCACTTTGTTTATCCACAGACCATTGTTATCATGTGATGTGCAAACACGCAGTTGTAACTCCGATAGGGCTAATATTGTGTACTGAGACTTGGGTAATCGTTATCTTCAGGACACCTCTATTTTTAACAACATAATCGAAAGTTGATATAGGCAAACGGACATAAGCTCAAATACGCGGGGCGCTGCATACACACTCTACAGAACACACGTTACACAATAGGCACGCACATTTATATACAATATCCACACGCGCGCGTGCGTGTGGGTGGCTAACTGTGGGCTAACCATGCATGGGCTAACTAATCAAAACACTGACGGGCTATTTTTTTTCAAGCCAAAATGGTAGTTGGAATTTATTGTCCAATTAGCATGTTTCTTATATCAGCATTTAGAGAAGTTTATCAACTTTATGAATGTCGTCATCCCAAGGTTGAACTTTCCGTGTTGACGCTGTGGTAAAAAACACCCTGACATGCGTGCTAAAAAACTAGTTTACGCTTCGTGGATGTGCACTTTTGAATAGGAGCACAAAGCGTGGATGTGTTTTTTCAAACAAAAATGGTCGTTATGTGCCGAGCACTGTCATTGACAAATTTCATCCCTATAGAAAGCTGAAGATGTCTTCTTTCATGTTCTGATCACCCCAGATTTGTACGTTGCCCGGTTTTAAAGATGTGCCTGTTTTGGTCTCTCAACAACGCACGCGCACATATACTGAGCCTGTACACGCAGTGTTGGGATGAGCAAATGTCCAAAACTTTTCATTATGTTCCGGTTAATTAAAACTGACTTTTGCAATGACTGTTCAGTACCAAAGTGACTTTTGCAGGGCAGTCTTTTGTCTTCGTATTACTCACATTTGTTGTAATTTTGAAACCCACTTTCAAAGAAAATGTGACTTTCCCCATTTTTTGCAATCAGAGACGAAGTGCACGTTGTACTTCTCACAACACGTGTGCAAGCCAGACAGAATGAAAGCCCGATACTGATTGGCTCATAACATCTTTAAAACAAGTCAGGTGTGTTTACAAACACAAATGCCCCGCAACCGTGACTGTTTCAATGACATAACACCACTCTAACATCAACTTACATGTACCTTGGTCAAATGGAACGTTCATTGACAGCATTAGTGTCTTCTGTAGGTTTTATATGAATTAATCCCTAATCCCTATGATCTCAGAATAAATACAAGATTTCTATTGTTTTAGCCACTGTGACCTTGACCCTTGACCTTTTGAACCCCAATGTGATAGGCTTCTTAGGATTGCCAAGGACAATCCACAAACCAAATTTGAAATTCATATGTAAAGTATTTCTCAAGTTATCGCGCTGACAAAATTTCTATTGTTTCAGCCACTGTGACCTTGACCCTTGACCTTTTGGCCCCAAATGCAAAAGGCTTCTTAGAATTGCCAAGGACAATCCACAAACCAAATTTGAAGTTCATATGTAAAGTATTTCTCAAGTTATCGCGCTGACAAAATTTCTATTGTTTCAGCCACTGTGACCTTGACCCTTGACCTTTCGGCCCCAAATGCAAAAGGCTTCTTAGGATTACCAAGGACAATCCACAAACCAAATTTGAAGTTCATATGTAAAGTATTTCTCAAGTTATCGCGCTGACAAAATTTCTATTGTTTCAGCCACTGTGACCTTGACCCTTGACCTTTTGGCCCCAAATGCAAAAGGCTTCTTAGAATTGCCAAAGACAATCCACAAACCAAATTTGAAGTTCATATGTAAAGTATTTCTCAAGTTATCGCGCTGACAAAATTTCTATTGTTTCAGCCACTGTGACCTTGACCCTTGACCTTTCGGCCCCAAATGCAAAAGGCTTCTTAGGATTACCAAGGACAATCCACAAACCAAATTTGAAGTTCATATGTAAAGTATTTCTCAAGTTATCGCGCTGACAAGATTTGTCCGGACACACACACCCACACACCCACCCACATACCACCCACCCACCCCCCACCCACCCACCCACCCACCCACCCACCCACCCACCGAAGGACAACCGAAGGACAAGGCGGAAACAGTATGCCCCTTCGGGCTTCGCCGCGGGGCATAAAAATATCAATTTTTATCCAGCCAATCAGCATATTCAGCAGCGAGCCTTCATTGCATCGAGTTTCACTGTGACCACCTTGGTTTTTGAGCCTGTTTTCTGGTTGTCTTCGTCATCGACTCCATAATTTCCCCAATAAATCAAAGACATCATGCCCTCTTTCCACAAAATAATAAACAAAACATTCAAGAAGGTGTCATCCCTCATAGCTGCTCAAATGTCTGGCCCCATAAATGTGGCCAATTTACCGGACTACCTCCGTAAATAAAGGCCAGACTTGGTACATGTACCTGACATTGTAAAACTTTGTCTAGTTTCTATTGTTCACATTTAGACTTTGTAGTTTATTAGTCCCATAAATGTGACGGTGTACTGGTCTACCCTCCTATTAACCAGAGTAGGAAGTCCAGTATTACTGTCACATTTATGGGACTAACCTTCACATGCAGCTAGCACTCGCACGCTATACGCATGATGGGCACCGGAAGTTAGTTTGTGTGACGCGTTCTACATGTACGTCACAGGTCACGCAAATCTATCCAATGAGAGCTCAAATGACGTCAGCCCTGACAGCGTGAAAGCGTTCTGTTTGCAGGAAGGGGGGTGGGGGTACAAGCGAAATGTACTATGTTTTATGTCACTGCGCATGATGTTTCAGTGCCTATTCGGCAAAATATCGTTCGCTTAAAGAAAGCCGGTGCCGGCTAAATATACTCCAACTGCCAAATTTGAATGTCAATGAAAAAGACAGTCTGATTAAAATTCATGTTTTTATCCATGCCCAGCATGCATTGTAAATGCAGGCGTGGATCCAGGGGGGGGGGGGTGTGGGGGACAACCACCCCCCCCCAGCTAGCTCTGCCCCCCCCCCCCAAAAAAAATTGTCATACAAATTCCTAAAAAATAAGTCAACCCCCCCTCCCCCCCCCCCCCCCCCCACTGTGACGCCCATATGGAGAACAATGGAGCATTTGCTCACTCGCCACTAGTGAAGCTCTGTCTACGTGGGAAGACTGGGCGCTCTTTCTACTGTCGCGCCGCCACCCTCTAGTGTCGTCCACTTACCGATGATATCACATTTAACAAGTCCTCTTTCTACTGTCGCGCCGCCACCCTCTAGTGTCGTCCCACTTACCAATGATATCACATTTAACAAGTCCTCTTTCTACTGTCGCGCCGCCACCCTCTAGTGTCGTCCCACTTACCGATGATATCACATTTAACAAGTCCTCTTTCTACTGTCGCGCGCCGCCACCCTCTAGTGTCGTCCCACTAACCGATGATATCACATTTAACAAGTCCTCTTTCTACTGTCGCGCCGCCACCCTCTACTGTTGCCCCACTAACTGATGATCATCAAGTGGGACGACACTAGAGGAGGACGGCGGCACGACAGTAGAAAGAGGACTTGTTAAATGTGATATCATCGGTAAGTGGGACGACACTAGAGGGTGGCGGCGCGACAGTAGAAAGAGGACTTGTTAAATGTGAATCATCGGTGGGATGCAGCACATACAGTGTGCATCTACATGTATATCTATCAGTACCGTGCGTGATATATTACTCATGAGCTCTCTAGTGACGTCATAGTCATGCATATTCATCACGCGCCTCCTACTGTCGTGCCATTTTATGCTACCTTGTGCAAGTCGCCGGGTAAATGCACTGTGTGCGTGATCGCAGAGCATGCGGGGGGCTTTGATTTTCTGCACATATGGGTGGAAAAGTTCTCCATACGCAAAAAAAAAAAATAACTCAGAAGAATCTACAGTAGGTCAATCACTTCCACCTAGCTTTCCAAGGCCAAATGGTTAACTTTTCAGGCCAAAAATGGCAAACTTACTTTCACTGTTGTGACGTTTTTTCGAAAGTCCTCCACGTCGTGCCCCGCCAATTTAAGAACGCGCAACGAACCACGTGAGATTGGTTTGTGAACAAATCCCTGGTCCCTGTACTATTGCAATGATTTCAAAAAGCATTGGGAAGTGCGAACCAGTTATTTCTGCGGCGCCTTACTCACCAATGAAAACTACCAGGCACATTTTGTGCTGGGGTAGTTTCAGGTTTTTTAGCTGGGGAAAAGTCGTTTTTATTCTAATTCACAATGTTTGCGTACCATCTTTGTCAGTCTCACAATTTTATATAAAAACAATATTGGAGACCTGTATCTCAGAAAAGATAGTCTTCAAATTCAATAGTTTGCTAAAAAGAAATTTTATTTTGAACTGAGTTCCCTTCATTAATTTGGTATAGACCTTGTGGAATGTATATGCAAATTTGTACCGTGCAATTTTTTTTTTCATCAAGCGATAACTGCCC